ACAAATGGGCAAATCAGAGAACCAATGAGTTTGGGGCAGCCACAGTCCTTTGAAATCACTTAGTCCAACCCCAGGGCTTAATGCTAGGTAAAAGCACATATTACTGACCCTGACAAAGAAAAATGCCTCCTTTGTCTTATCACTTACAAGAAAACTTTGAGCAATCCTGAGGAACATGGTGCAGTTCTACCAATTGACTTACCACACCCTTCAACATGGCCAGCATCCAGCAAAACCATGAAGAAGGCCAAGCTTGTCTTCAGAACCCAATCACATTCCCTTCCACTGCCTCCGCATTTCGTCCTGACTCCCATATGGAAAGACTAACAAAACAAAAAACAAACCCTCCAAACCCCTCTGGCATTCCTGTAAAATCTGTCAAGTTCATTCACAACAAAACTTACTAGCAAAAGGTATGAATGTGCTTTGCCAAGATCAAATAAGAGGAAAGAAGGAAAGGAAATGAGCATTTATAAAGTACCTACTACATGCCAGGCACAAAGCTGTACAAAAATGACCTCATTTGATTAACAGGACTCAAAGAAATTTCAACTACTTCATGATTAATTCCACAGACCAACTTAAACTTTCAATCCTGATCTCTGTTCAGTCAATAAATGGCTACATCTTTTTCAACCAGAGAACTTTGAGGTTATCGTAATAGGTTCCCACAGACATACAGCATTTCTGTTTAATCATGAACAGAAAGACCAGGAAGTGTATATATACATGAGGACATTTAGCAAATACTGTTTAATAATATTGCCAAGCAGAAAAGTACAGCTTTGCATTATCAATAAGGTGATATCAGGAGGTTCAAGATGGAGGATGGAAAGGGAATAAGTATTAGAGGTGATCATGGAAAAAAAAATGAGGCTCCCAATTGAATGGTTCGGATAGAATGTGTTATACTCATGTCTCCATCTTTAAATTCCATTAAATCATTTTAGCAACTAATAATTCTGTACAATAATTTAGAAATGGAGCAGTCTTGACTGGAAAAGGTCTTCATTTCTCAGATCAGCTGTGCTGGCAAATCAGATACCCAAGCTTCCTAGTTGGACAGTTAGAAATTCAAAGAAATCTGATCCTTCCAAACTATGAGCTCCTTAGGGGCAGGGATTGTCCTTTTGTCTTTCTTTGTATCCCTAAATCCTTAGCATAGAAGTCACTTAATAAATTTTTATTGACTTGTTGACTTTAAATAAACGCTTTAAATAATTTCTATGTAATAATTCTTTAGAGTTATTATAAAGATTCCTCTTTTAAGTTATTGTAATGTTACTCTTTCAAGTAACCTGAAGTTATCTTTCTGTCCACCCTAAACCTGATCTCTAACCAAAATACACCAAGTTCCTTCAACCAATCGTCAAATGGCACAATTAGTTCATTAACGGTTATTATGCCAAGGACACCAAAGTCCACCCCAAATATAGTACAACTAATTTCCAATTTCCCAAGTTAACAAAACTGACTACACCAAAGTCTCATTTCAGTTACTGGCAGATGGCTGACCTGATTAGAGTGTAATCTCCTGGAAGACAGGGGCAGCTTTTTGTCTTGGCACTTAAGCCAGTGCTCCACAAAGTTAATAAATTAAATTAAACTGAAATGTATGATTTAACAAAAAGTTCATGAATAGGAGACCCATAAGTGGTTATTAAAACAAGCTAGCATAAACCTGACCTCTAGGACAGGGGATCGTTAAGTAACCTGAGGAACTGAGTGTGAATTTGTTTTTTAAAATATTCTGATAATTGTATTTCAACATAATTAGTTTATTTTCATAATCCTATGCATTTATTTTATGCATTTAAAAACATTACTCTCAGAAAGGGGTCCAAAGGCTTCACCACACAAAAATGGTTAAGAATTCCGGTTCTAGGAGGATCTCAGAGAGAAAAGTCATGGCTTTGCCATGTACATCCTTTGTGGCTATTGTTGGCAACAAAATATGTAACTTCTGGGACCATGCATCTGCGCTGGTATGCTAACACTTACGTTCAATTTTCTGTAACAAATAATGATTTCATCAAGTCACAAAAATAGGACATGTAATGAAAGTCTTTAAACTTTGCATTCTAATCACAGGGACCTGCAGTTTCATTGATATGGGGATATTCCCAATGATGAAACTCAGGTTGGCAGTTTCACTGTATTAAAACATAAAAGTTGTCTTAGACATGGGGCAGCAACAGGGTAGGCTGAGCTCCAACAATCAAGCGTAATTATTAACTCTTGAAGATTTGATTGAATTATCTTCATTCTTATAATTATTTTACCTCTTAGATCTGGTAGTTCCCTCATTCTAGAGCCCTCCCAAGTGTCATAGAATTATAGACTGAGGGCTAGAAGGAGCCTTAAAGAATATTTAGTAAAACCCTCTCATTTGAAAGCTGAGAAGGGAAGAAAAGGCAATGCCAAAATTTGAAACCTCTGCCTCAGAACAGTGTGCTGTCTATACTGGAGATGTCAAACTCAAATGGAAACTGATCCCTACAGTCCCTTACTTAGAAAACCACAAATTGACATTATCCACGTTGTATTGTATTTTTTTTGTTGTTAAATATTTCCTGATTACATTTAAATCTGGTTCAAGATGCTCTTGGGAGTTTGTCGGTTGCCTGTGAGCCCCTTCTGGGGCTCATCTCCCTGTGTACTGGCTCCTTCCCCACTACCTACAAATATGTTCAAGGCTAATCTATGCTTTCAAAAGGAAAAAAAAAAACATAATATTCTCTTGGACTTGTTATATTTAAGAAAAGAATGATATCCTTCTTCCATTTCACTGGGAAATTTCTAAAAAAAAAAAAGTAGTCTATGTTCATCATCTCCACATCCTCATCACTTCTTCCCTCATCAGTTCCTTGCATCTTGACTGCTGTGCTTCCATGTATCTGTATCCCCAACTCTGAACATAGTGCCTGGCATATAGTTAAACACTTAATAAATGTTCTATCACTCAGTTACACATACTAGCTGTTCCCAGAATTGGATATGCTATTTCCATTTTATGAAAACTTAATTCACTTCTCCCTAAACTTAATCTTTCAAAATCCTTTTTCCTCCAAGGCACAATTCAAGTGTCACCTTCTTCATGAAATGTCTGATTCTCCCAGCTGATTATACTCCTGGCCCCTCAAATCCTCCTACAATAATGTATGGATCTCCTCCATATAGCCCCATCATCTTGCCTTCTATTATATTCCTCTAAATACCGCATAGTCAAATTTCACCCCAAATAAAATACACGCTCAATCAAGCTGAGGACGAGCTTTTTGTAAAAATTTAATCCTACATGCTTGAGCCAGTTCAAACCTACTCAAGGGAGACAATTGTTAAATTTTAGTAAACATTTACATTTCAGAAATCATCAAATTCTACAAATCAGGGCTTGATTTATTGTTCTGATGAGTGTTTACAATTAAGAAAGGAAGAGATAAAATGAAATAATGTAAATCAAATTTCAAAAGCATATCTTGGGTACATTTTTCAATGTCTTGCATATATATGTGTGTGTCTACATGCATATATGTGTGTATTTTTCCCCCCAGTAGGCCAGTTGTTCGATGTTTACCAGGCACACCTCTTTTGTATCTATGATAAGAAAGTATTCTACAACATATCACTTTTGATGGTATCTCTGAGGTACTTAGAGCTTAAAATGACTTGCTCAGAATCCCAGTGCCAAAAGATGTCAGCAGCAGAGCTTAGACTTGGGTCTTCCTGACTGTGAGGCCTGTTCTCTATCCAATATAGCAAACTGCCTCTCACCTTGAACAGGAATGAGTTGTTCACATTTATTTGTTTAATCAAATTGTCTGGGGGCTTTCTTTGCTTAACTGTGTAACAGTTGCTTCTTCAAAAAGAATGGCATTCAGGGTGCCACGCATTATTCCCGGATTTTATATTGTTCTAGACTCTCATATTTCTCATAAAGTGCTTATAGCCACAAATATTTATTTGGTTTTTGTGTTTCCAAAAATATCAAAAGTCAGATAGCAATACCCTGAATAGCCAAGGGGTAACTTATATCTTACTTATATCTTTTTTTAAACATTTAATTTTTTTCTCAATTGCATGTAAACAAAAAATTAACAGTGTTCTTAAATTTTATATTCCACATTCTCTCCCACTCTCTCCTTCCACCTCCTTGAGAAGGCAAGCAATTTGATGCATCTTACTTACATTTAACCCCCTCCACATACCCAAATCCCCCAGTAAAGTAGGCATCAAGGTAATCCCAGGCACCTGGGAGAAAGAGACATCTTTGATGCTTCCAACTCTCCCTTACCTCCCACCTACAATCAATTGCCATGCCTTGATGATTCATTTTATGAGTCCAATAGCTCTTACACACACTCCCTAATTCAGGCCATAATTACCTCACTTTTACTATAACAAAAGCCTCATCATTGGCCTCTTTCTACCCTCAGTCTCTGCTTCCTCCAATCCACAGTTCATACAACTGTCAACATAATCTTGGGATCAAGTTACTCTCAACTTTTAAATTGGAGACAAAGTTGCTTAGGGGCAATAACTGGAGACCAGTTGTGGTTTCAGTTGGGGGAGGGAATTCAAGGGAGTCCGCAGGCAGGCAGGCACACACGCAAGCACAGACACACACACATACACACTCCTAAGTAGTATCCATCCACTGATCACATTCCCCTTTCATTACATGAGTTTTCACTTGGCTAGGACTTCCATTTCTGAGACCCAGCCAATCCAGCACACGGCAGAGACTCAGGTTAACACAACTGCCTCATTCAAAACAGTGACATGTGCAAGTGACTATGAATAAAGGCACTTATGTGCATTCTGTGAAGCTCTATGCTCTCTATACCTGTTTTTTGAGATTGCCACTGGTTACTACCACAATTATACCTTTCAATTTCCCATTGCAGCACTCTAGAAAACATTTTTAAGAATCTTCCGTACCACCAATCCTCAAAAATTGACCTTTATAGTATGAAAAAATAGAATTCAGCAAACCTTACTTCTGGTAGTGGGCTGGCTGGTTTGGTTAGGATTCCTCCCACGTAAACAACATTAGGTAGAGTGGGTCTTGGGAACTCCAGTGCCACATCTGTACACAGCATCCACAGGCTGGTCTCCTGAACCAAATCATACATGGATTTCACTGGAAGCAGGTTGTACTTTTGCATTATCCTTTCATATTTTGGAAGAACCAGAAAGTTGATTCCTAATCTGGAAATGAGGTAAACGCCGGTGTTTTTCATTCTCTCCAGAAAGTTCATATCATCTGTGAGAAGCGAGTTAAACTCCGGAACATAAGATAATGGCATGGGAGCCCCCACTTCAGCAGGATACCAAAGACCTGTGGAGAATACTGCATACTTCACCCCTAAAAGATGAGCTATAACAAATCCACACATCTCATTAGGGTCCACCAGCAGCAAATCAAATTTTTCTTTTTTCAGGTCCTGAATCAAAGCACTATTGCCAACCATCTTCTCACAGTTCTTAGAATAGTGGTCCAGTATGTCGAACAGTTCTATTACCGTAAGTTTCCCAGAGAAAATATTCCGCATTTTGGACTGTAGAAAAGCATCTGAGGTGGTGCTGTTAAATATCCCTGGGTAGCGCTGGAGTCTGTAATGATTAGATGGCATGATGTCTCTGCCTTCGGACAGGAGAAACACTGTCTGGTGGCCTCTCTCGTGCAAGGCTGAGGCCAAGGTCTTGAAAATGTACATATGGCTTTCAAACATAATTGGCGGCACAACGACGATTTTGGCAGCCTTTGCTAGTCCAATAGCACTCCACAGGAGTACGAAAAATGGAGTGAAAGACTTCATAGCTGAAATGACAACCAGAAAATAACTTTAAAACACAATTCTTAATTGTGTTAATTAAAACACAATTTAATTAAAACACAATTCTTTAAAACACAGTTCACAATTCTTCAGACTGTTTAGAACTTTCAAAATCAAATACTACACAATCATTATTTCTGACATTCCCAGTGATATGACATTTCAGATCAACTGACTGTTCTTTATCCCCTAAGGATTTATGTTTTTAATCCCCTCATAAATATTAACTTAATATTATATCTAATTAGACTCATAAATTTCAATACAGCATTTATGAGGGACAAAGGTGGCAGAAACTAAAACATTCCAGCAGTTTGTATGTGTCTGGAGCAGTTTTGCACCTTGAAACCCTCCTGGCTATCCCTGAATACCCTTCAGGGAAATGGAAATTCAAGACAAATGACCTTCAAGGTTAAGTAACAAACATCACAATACCCCTCCCTCCACAAATAAATACATATTTTAAATAATAAACAATTTTGTTCACTGTCACAGAGAATGTAAATCCAAAACTTGTGATTTTTCTGATTACTTTAGATTATTTAAAATTATTTATTTTCAGAATGTTATTATTTTCATATTATTCAGATAATTTATTCAGATTATGTCTAGCCTGTAGATCATCTTTCCACCCTTTATATTTAATCACTCCCTAATATTTAATCAACAGTTACACTGCTAATTATTCTGAGATTATATATAGGAACAAATTCTCAAAATACAGATAGCATAGGGCATAGCTGAGGGGAAAAGTTCACCTGTTGTATCAGTGGTTTTTCTTCCATCCCCAAAGCTCTACATTCATTTTCTACACTGGGATAGAGATCAGATAAGATTTGTGATTTCGTGGATACCCCCATTCCTTCTTATTTCTTCCTCTCTCTCCCTTTTTTTGCCCCATCCCTTCCTCCATCCCTCAGTGGTAAGGAGGAGAAGGATCAATGCTTGATAACTTTTCTTTTTAAATTAAAGATCAAGTACTTAGAGTTATTATGTCTAAAAACAGGGATAACTAGTTGTAAATGTGCTCCTTTGGACTTGTTGATGGTTTAAAATTAAGTGAATAAATTATTTTTCAAATAAATAAAAATTTAAAACAGGAAAAAATACCCGTCCTCCAAGAGGTATCCCCCTCAAATGCATATAATACTTGATGGTCTAACTTTTTAATGATTTTAACCATGTCGTTTTACATATTTGCTATTTTTGCATGTGCCACACTCCCATACAAAATTTTAATTTCTTAAGGAGAGGAACAATGTCATATTTAAATGTTCTCTCTTTCCTCACAGCTTAAAACAGAGCTCTATATAAAGTAAATGCAGATTTTTACAGCATTTACTTAAGTATCATGATGGACTATTCCTGGAGAGCTCACTAGTTAATAAAATAATAGTTTTTCAAACCACTTTAAGGTTTGAAAAGCACTGTACTTATATTCTCATTAAACCACCACAACCACCTGAGTAGTTTATTATTCCCATTTTAGAGATGAGGAAATTGATTTTAAGTCCAGCACTCTCATCAACTGCACTATCCAACTATCTTGTAACTGGTAAAGTAAGTTAACAAAGAAGCTAAGTATTTGTCTTTATAGTTCCTCCTTGCTCCAAGATGCATAAAGTGGCGTTCACAACAGAACTTAAGAAACCATCTACACATTTGTTTTTCTAATTACACAAGTGAAGCAGGCTGGGGAGTACACTGCCCTCTCTTTCCCATAACTCCAGAGAGAGCAAACTAGCTTGCTATGGATGACTGGTTTTATTTATCAGGTTTATTATTGACTCCAGTTAACTGGACAACGAGAGAGCGGTAAAGCTCGAGTGTGTTTTAATCACTAATCGGACTGCTAAACAGAAACTATTTTTAAAGGTCTCAAATTCCTAAAACATGCTTTTGGGAAACAGTCCTGAAATCCGATTAATGAAGCTTGAGTAGGGTTTCTTTCATATATGAATCTGAAACCAATGAAGAAATCAATCCCTTAGGAAATGTGCCTAATTTTAAGGTTAGGTTCATGATTATATAGTATCCTGCATCCAAGATGCCTTCCAAGTTAATAAACTATAAGTTGGCCTGGAAGGTGTGGCCACCTATATCTGAAAATATATATATTTGGATGATTCCCCAAAAGACCCACTTTCTACTAAATTTGAATCTTGAGAATCAGAGATCATAAAATTTAGAGCAGGAAAGAATTATAGAAAATATCTAAGTCAATGGCCTTTTAATGTATGAGGAAATTAGCTCAGAGGAGTTTAACAACTTACTTACTCAAGGTTTACACAGGCAGTGATTTCAGGACTGTAGGTCACAAAGGAAGTGGTAAGTAGCAAAGTCAAGATACTGACTCAGGCGCTCTGATATCAGAACCAATGTCCTCCTCCTCTACACTCTACCACATTACTGTGAAGTTCAAATATTACCTTTGGAGGTACCCGAAAAAGGAGGACAAGGGGAAACTCATACAAAAGAAAGAGAGACACAAGAATTTCTCATTTAGGATATCCTTTCAGCACTTAAAATTCTCTTTCTCCACTGAGAATCCAGCAGACTGCTTCAGACAATAGTGGCCACATCATTAAGATTTGTTGAACTGATTTCAATGAGTGCACACTTAAATGATCAAACCTTTCTCCAAAATGCTGCATGATTAAAAGTTTTTTGGTTTCCAAGCTAGAAAAGCAGCCAGGTGTTCTGGGTACCTTGGACAAAAGGATTGGGGTCAGGACGTTAAAAGGAGTTTATAGCATATAATAGCCCTTTCTCAGCCTGAGGTGCTACACTACACAGTTTTCAAAAGGAAATAGGTTAAGAAAAACACATATTTACAACAAAATAAAATAAACATCAGAATGTAAAATGTCAGGGAAACCTGAGATAAGTGCTTCTCATGATGATGCTATATAAGGATGTCAGTCATGGTAACCCAGAAGCCAAGGTGTGGGGACAGGTTCTTGCCACTAATTAAACAACTCCCACTACCTTTAAATTGAGGATTAAGGTAACAAAGACTTTTTTCCATATATCATTTTACTTGATTAGCAAAACAACCCAGATGAGGAGTATTACTATCATTTTCTCAGTTCTTGTCTCCCAGAACATTTTTATCCACCAATATCTATTTTGCACCCACTATGTGCGAGGCACTGGGCTAGGTGCTGAATTACAAGTACAAAGAATGGAAAAATCTGAATTGCATTCTAAAGGGGGAGATGAAAAGTCCATATAAAAATATAAGAAGCATAAAGTTAGTATACATAAAAAAAGAAAAAATCTGACTTACATTCTCAAAGGCTGGAGATAAAATGCCCATATAGGGGGCAGCTAGGTGGCGCAGTGGATAGAACGCCGACCCTAGAGTCAGAAGGACCTGAGTTCATATTCGGTCTCATACCAGACACTTGACACTTACTAGCTGTGTGACCCTGGGCAGGTCACTTAACCCCAACTGCCTTGCCCAAAAAAAAAAAAAAAAGGCCCATATAAATAGTACAAAGTTAGCACATAAATATAAACTTGATATTTATACCGACAATGTAGTAAATGTTAAGTAAGGTAATTTGGGAAGAGGGCATTAGTTGATAGAGGGATTACAAAAGGCTTCATGCAGAAGATACCTAAGCTGTGTGTGTGTGTGTGTGTGTATGAGTGAGTGAGAGTGTGTGAGAGAGAGAGTGTGTACTCCTGACTTCCTACCTATCTGACCACTCCTCTGTGTCCTTCACTGACTTATCTAGCACCATGCCCTTCAATTGTGATAATCACCAAAGTCATACACACACACTCACACACTCTCTCTCTCTCTCTCTCTCTCTCTCTCATTTGCATGGTATGGCTGTTAAACCCATGAGAGCTGAGGAGGTTACCAAGAGAGAAGATAGCCCAAGCCAGAACTTTGGTGAATACCTACAGTTAGGGGCAAAGGAGTCAGAAAAGGAGTATCAGACAGGTAAGAGGCCAACCAAAAGAAAAGAGTATCAAAAAATTCAAAGAAAGAGAGAGTATCCAGAATGAGATGTCCAACACTAGCCAATGCAGCAGAGAAGTCGAAAACGATTAGGACTGGAAAAAAAAATCATCAGATTTGGAATTGGTAATTTGAGAAAAATAGTTTTTCAGTTGAGCGACGAGGTCAAAAGCCAAATTACAAATCAAGTTGGCAAGCATTTGTTCCCACATGCACTGTGCTAAGTGGGGGTGCTTCAAAAAAGGCAAAGAACAGTCCCAGACTTCAAAAGAGCAGAGGGAGCACTAGAGCCACCATGCAAATAATTATGCACATACAAGATAAACACAGAATACACCTTAGGGACTTTAGCTGAGACCTAGAGGAAGTCAGGAGGGAGATATGGGGACTAGAGAGCTCCAGGGATGAGGGACAACCAGGGAAAATGCCTGGAATTGACAGGTTAGAAACAGCAGTGTGTGAGAAACAGCAAGGATCAGAAAAGGTGAAAAGGAGTAAAGCAAGAAAACTGGACAGGGAGGAAGGGGACACACAAAGGTCTTTAAAAGTCATCTAAAGGAGGGTTAAGAGACAATGAGAGGGGAGGAAGTGGAATCACTGAATGCAGGCAATGTTTTAATGATTTTGGCTAAAAAGGGGAGAACTATAGGATGATAATTTGAGGGGACTGTAGGATCTAGTGAAGTTTTTTTTTTTAAAGGATGGGGGAGATCTGGGAAATTTGAAAGCAGTAGAGAAGGAACAAATTGAAAGGGAGAGGTTGAAGACTCGAGAGAGGAGAGATTAGTAAGGATATAGTCTGCTGGAGAAGATGAGAGGGATGAGATCAAGTAGATAGGGTAAGGGGAGAGGTAACCTTATCCAAGAGAATATCCAACACTTTGTCAAAGACTTGGGGGAAAGAGAGTGAGATGATGTCAAGGGAAATGTCTGAAATGAAGACAACTGGAGAAGAGGGAGTTCGCATCTAATGGCCTTAATTTTATCAGAAAAGCAGGGAGAAAAAGTCCT